TGTATGGGTAGGCAGCAGAGAAAGCAAAGACGGTAGGAGACTGCTAGAATGAACTTAAATGCTTTTAAAATAAGTCAGGAGAACTGGGTTCCTCTTAAATACAGTGATATGTCATTGTACTATACTTTAGTGTCCTATCTCCCACTGTCTCCCCCATTCAAATATGGGGGAGAACCAAATATATGAACCAAATATATGAGAGATAGGTAGCATTACCGAACATGAGAAACAGAAGTAGACTTACTACTTGCCAAACAAAAGTCCGTCTGTGAAAGGATCTCTATCAAGATGGGAAGCAAGTCCCAAGTAAGAAGAGATGAAGAAACACGTCCTTCTACATCATCTCTGAGTAGTGGGCATGTTTTGCCAACAAGAAATAGAACTGTTTTCTTTACTGAACATACTGTCCCTTTAATGCCTGGGCATTGTCACAAACAGTCACTTGCATTCACTCATTCAATTAACTAATATGTTTTCAGCTCCCACTATGTGCCAGGAACTCTTTATACATCTCAACATCTCAAACATAAGGCTAATGGAATGAGAAAATCCATGGTGTTGCAAAGAGAGAAATGCTATATTAGTAACTCATCCTGTTATACAACCAACGGAGACAATTTGAAATAAGAAGGCTGAACACAAACATTGTTATACATTTTGTCACTGTTTCGGAATCAGTGCTTCTGGTCTACAGGTCAGGTAAATAATATACTACATATCCTCAAAAAATGTCAAGAATGAATAAAAGTACTTCTTCGCTATTTGACTTGATCTTGCTGATAATCGAAGTAGGTTACTACCTAACTGATGTAAATTAAGATTAAATACCCAATCTCTCTCCAACCATCTAAAAAATCTCCTCATTTCTTTAAAATCTAGCAATTATAGTTTCATTTGGGCTACCAAGATTCCTCTTTTAAGACACAGATATGGCTGGGCAAACTGCATCATCAGCAGTACAAAGCATAGTCGTTTTAATCAGATGACTTTCCTCTTGAATTTTACTTTGGCGGACTCTTGACCAACTGGAATATGGATTCTTTGTGGATCCAGGGGTTCGTGTGCAGTTTTAGAAGTGTATCAGGATCGTGGCTTAAGCCTAAACTGCATGCAGCCCAGATTCTGGCTTATTTGGACCCTCCTGGGAAGACACTAATTCTAGAGGAGAAGTTGACACGCATGGTTCATGGATTAGAAGAGTGACCCGGACAACAGTTTGGTGCTGTTTCTCTGACTGTCCCCTCAGCCTCCTAGTGACATTCATGAGTTGATTACTATTAGAGGGTGAGAAAAAAACAAGATGAGGCTTTCCCACTGGGCTCTCCATGGATTTCAGGAGCACAGGGTACTGGGGTGAGCAGTCTCAACAGAGATGGGGCAGTGCCAGGGGTGTGGACAGACACATGCACTCTCTGTCCTGGGCACCTTGGACCTCAGCACAGATATCTGCAGGCCAAGCCTCAGCAGGGCCACCTTCAGTGGGCACTACAAAGCTTGTCTGCATTACTGGGATCTTTCTTGCAGAATTATTTGGGAATTTCCACACAACAACTGAGAATGGAGCAATAGCAAAATTTGATTTGTAACACTTGTTAATATGCAAGTGTGGCCTGCGAAACCTGGAATTTTTGAAGAGGAAAAAAACTCCTAATGCTCTTCTAAGCCCCAAAGCATATCTGAAGAGGCACATTCTAAAATCTTCACTGTGTGGGGCTTCAGCTACTTCCTTTGTACAATGAGAATTTTACCTGCTGCCGCCTACTTGCTTTGCAACTTGAAACCTAGATATTACATCATGAATACATTCATATTCTCAAGAAGAACTTAAAAAACCAACTTACATATATCAATGGTTTGGATTTTAATAAGGAGGGGAACATATTTTTGACCTTAAAACTCGCTCATTTTTTTAAAAAGAAACGTTTTCTTCCCTTTTTCACTAGTTATGATTTTAGCTTTAGTTTGTTATAGCAATTGGATGAGAGGGAGAAATTTAAAAACAGAATAAATAGGGAGTCCAATTTCTTCAAGATTAAAAAAAAAACTTTAAACAAATTTATTGCCCCTTTACCGTATTTATCAAACAAGCAAGCATCCATGGCTCTCTTTGTGAAGGTAAAGTTTACAGGAAACAAAGACCCATTACAAGTAAATGGAAGTTAAATATTATTGTAAAAAAATTTTCTCTTAAATTCCCAGTAGAAATGTTCATTAAAGATCAGCAGAATGTCAAGTTGGTAAGCACCTTAGTCTCATCTAAAGCAACTCGTTTATTTTATAAATGAGAAAAACAATGCCCAGAGAATTGTAACTTACAGACATCTCAAGTCACAGAATGGCAGAAGCTGGAACCAGGTCTCAACGTCTGCTCAGTACCAGCTCTCAAGGCACTTTCACTGTGACATACATACACACGCACGCGCACACACACCTAGAATATCACACAGCCGTTGCTCACATTCTTTTCAAGAAGTAAATAAGATAACATGTGACTTAAATTAGGAATGAGACTTAAAAGTAAATAGGACCATTTAATGGAAACACTGAGGTCAACAAATTACATCCTTTGGCATTTTGCAAGGAGTGGAGCCTCTTAGGGAGTCTAGAGACTGAATTCAATTCCCTAAACCAAACATTCAATAAGGCAGTTGCACACTTAGGTTACCCTGAGTTACAACAGCACTGGGTTAGAATTCTGTTTTGTTTTTTTTCATTTCTGCCTTTTGACAAGTTTTGAGAAAAAAATAAAGTACCGTGTGATGGTAAATAAGGAAGAATGTCCATCAACCTGAAATAGTCACTTCTACCACAACACTTCTGCTGGTACATCACCCTAATCTTGTCCTGTATTAGCTTGTGCCTGGATTATACCTGAGACAATCAGGTCCTCTGGCCCTCTCCCCTCCTCCCACACTGCACCCCACTGCCAGGTTTATCTCCTCAAATCATTGCTTGTATTATATCACTCTGTATTCAAGGCCTATGATGGTGTGTGATTAACTGTTTATTAATTTATATCAAAATATTTTAACCTGGCTTTTTTGGCTCTTCATAATTTGTCTGCCTCTCATCAGTTCTACTTTCTGGCAGGCTGACTGCCTGTCTCCCCAGGAAATTAATCTCATTCCCATCACCAACCCTTTACTAAATGCTTTTACTGCCTTTCGTCCCCCTCTCTCCCCTACTACTGATATTTCAAATCCTGCCAAGTTTCAATCCTACCCACTCAGGTCCTCCATGCAATCTCCCCACTGCTCCATCCCTCCCTGTTGAGCTCTCCTTTCGCCGGTTTCATGACTTTTTCTCCTATTGTTTTATATCTGTTAGTCCTGCATTCCCAACTTCAACGTAACATCTTTTAGGGCAAGAATCATGTCTTAGGACTCTCTTGAGCCCTCCTCCCACCCCCATTCCCATATACTCTGGCATCTTGCTGACTGTAGCAGATTTTCAGTAAACACTTTGACAGTAGGACAGACCAGATCAAATGGAGGAAGAGAATGCCAGCTTCATCCAAGAGATGCTGGCAAAGCATAGTACTGTCTCTAGGCCTAACTCTCAGGCCCATTGCCCTTCTTCAGGCTCCACATCACTCCAAACTGTTTCTGACCTCTTCCTCTGCGGGGTTTGTAAATCAGTCCTTTCTCTCTAACCATGATCTAAGTCTGATCCACTTCTGACCAAGGTCATGACACCTTTAAGGCACCTCTCTTATTCCAAGGACACAGCCAAATGGAGGTTTCCATTTAGATCCCACCTCTTTTCCTCCATAAGAGAAAGCCTGGCCCTTTCCAGGCTGGAAGGTAGTGTCCTCATCACATAGACACTTCAGCTGTGGAGACGCCCCTCCTCTCGCATTGATGCCCCAAGCCCAGATGTCCCTACCCCTCATCCCAGCTAGGACTACAAAATATTGCCAGTTTCCCTTCCCTCTGCCTGCACCCCACACAAATGATCATGATGCAGAGGGGATGTCTGGCGGTAGTAGGATTTTCCCACTTAAGTATCTACCTGCTACCTTCCCATACTAGAGAGTGAGGGGAACACTGCTTCCAGCAGTATAAACTTGCCCCAGCATCCGAAGTTCCAGCTCTTTCTCTGCCAGCACTGACTCCCAAGGAGGTGAGGAGAGCCTCCGGGAGGGCCAGGCATCCTACCACTTCTCCCACTAGCCACTGTCCCCTCACACCAGGTGACTGACCACACCCAGTAGTCCTTAACCTAACCACCCAAGTTTCACCTTCGAAGTGAAGAAAAGTTTTCTCTCTGCAACTTCTCCTTAAAACAGGAAATAATATACTCCAAGTAAAGCAGCTATGTGTTTCATCAATACTGCCCTCAGTAAAAATATGTCATCTCCCTTTCCTTTTGTTTCCCTATCAGGAACAGGAGATCCAGGTCTCAAAAGTTGAATCTTTTCTCCCTCCTCCTGCCCCTCTCAACTTCGCCAGCAAGAAAGGGGTGGAATAATTCATTTTCGGGCCTTCCTCAGCTCTCGACTCTCCGGGGTCGTCCCCTTCCTCTCCCTGGCACGCGCCCAGGCAAACTGCTCTCCACCCTGCTCCGCACTCCCGGAGGCCCGCATCTCAAGCCAGGGAGTTCCCTTTCCTCTTCTTCCCAGGGGATGTCTTTTCGGTCTAGTCTCCCAGGCTCCCACTGTGGTGGATTTCCCAAAATCCTCCACCTGCCACACCTCCTCGCTCGCGGGCACCGCGCCGCAACGCCCAAGAGCACCGGCGCCCAGGCCCTCCGCTCTGCGCCCGCCCACGGGATCCCTTCCGCCCTCGGACCGCCCCCTGCGCCCAGGGCCGCCGCAACAGGTGCAGCCCCAGGTGCCCAAGTGCCGGATTCTTAACCTCGTGCTACCCCAGTCGTCCAAGTTCTTCGACCCGCCCCTGCCAACCCCAGGGCCCCCTCGGGTCCAAATGCCAGCGCGGAAGGCTCGCCCTCCCTGCGACTCCACCCTAGACTTTCCTCCTGGGTCTCCAGCGACCACTTACCCAGGGCGAGGGCCAGGAGCAGTGGCAGGGAGCTGGCGCCGCTGCCCGGGACGGCCCGGGCCATCAACCCCGCTGCCGGGCCTAGCAGCCCCGAGACGAGTCTCCCGCCTCCTCCTGCGCCCCCTTCCCGGGCCACGGGCGCCCGACGGGGTGCCTGGAAACGAATCCCGGAGCTAGCAGGAAGCAAAACTACTCCCCAGGCTGCCACCCGGCTACCGGGTGGGCGGACACCCCGGGCGGGCGGCCGACCGGCTACGCGAGTGTCGCCGGGAAGAGGGAGCCTCCTATTTATCCGCGCTCTTTCTGCACACACCCCATCGACGAGGCGCAGGACTTCGTCGTGGTGGCCTCCACGCCGTTCCCACCCAAGTTACCCCACACCCACACAACGGGACACTTGCGGGCTGCCCTCGGGTCAGCTCACCCACGCCCCCTGCTGGGTCGCACCTGAAGGTTCATTTCCCTCCCCTTGGGGAGTCGAGGAGGTGGGGAGGGAGCGGAGAGAGAGCACGTGCAGGGGCCCGAGGTGCGGGGCCTGCGGGCCGCCGTGGAGCAAGCCGGCTCTAAACTCCCTCCCCGAGCCCACTGAGCGAGAACGGCAGACCCGGACTGCTCTGGAATTCCAGCTCCCCTCATTTCAGCCAATTGCTGGTGTCCTGGAGGGACCAGAGCCAACACTCACTGTGGTTAACCTCAGGCATTTGACAATTACCAAGCTTCTCTTTTCCATACGTAATTTGTTGAATATCTGGGAGTGTGGGCTCACCAAGAGCTACTTTAAGGATGTCACTTATATTTTTTTATTTCTCCATTTACTCGTCTATCCATTGTATTTTCATTTATTTATTTAATTCATCAACTCTGTTGGATCTATAAGAATAAGGAGAATCCTTTTTGCCTGGGGCTTCCCAAGCACTATCTCTACCTCAACACGTCTCTTCTTTGAGGAGATGTGGAATCTGATGGTTCTGCACCAAGCATTTCCTGGAACACAAAGGCATCCGCACAGCTTTCAAAGACAGAAAGTAGCATCCAGTTTTACCTTACATGATTTGTCTCCAAAATAACTAAAGGGTACAGCAGTTTTCTTACTGATCTATATTCCTCTTGCTTGATCAATATGTGTAATCATGCCTCCTCAGTACAGAAGTTGTATTTCTGTAGCATCCGAAAGTCCAATAAACATTCATTTACATAAGAAATGCAGTTCAGATGTCTTCCCTTTCCTCCCCATTGTTTAAATTAAACAAATTAGTATGTGCTTTTCTTCAACAAGTGACATTTCATTTCAAAACCAATTCACGTTATTTTAGCGCACCAGGCAACCAATATACCCAGAGGAATAAAAATCAGTTGGTAATTTCCAGAATCCCATTCTAGCACCCACATGACAGCTCAGAAAGCATCTATGAGAAGACAGACATGAGGTTTAGAGAGTTCAAGGTTGTGAGATAGGTGGTTACTGCACCCCAGATAAAAAGGGCAAGAGCACACGAAGCCAAGGGGATTTGACATCATCTCCCTCCTTTCCATCTCCATCCTTCCCTTTTCTTTTCTGATATTGTCTCCTTCCCTCAGGATCAGGGCCCCAGGTGAAGGCATCTTTCACTCTGAGACGGCACCCTAGCCAACAACTGTCCTGGTATCCTCAACAGAACATTATTATTTTTATTTTCCTTCTCCATAAATATTAATAAAAAATAAAGCAAACCTAGCAAAAAATACCAGATGTTTGTCGAATATTGTAAAGTGCCAAGACTTGGTGTAAATGTTCACCATTCATGCCATTCAAAGGGTAAATTAACTGTTTCAGGCCACTGGAGTATGAAATAGGGTACTTGAATATATTAAATAAGCCGGATAAATTAATAACCTTCCCTAGGGCTTTATTTACTGCCAGAAGTAAAATAAATACTCCAGAGAATATGTCTTCCAAATTTCCTGGCACCGAAGCTTCAATCTTCAGCAAGAAAGAGGTGGAATATTCATTTTCGGGCCTTCCTCAGCTCTCGTCTCTCCGGGATCGTCCCCTTCCTCTCTCTAGCACGCGCCCAGGCAAACTGCTCTTCAAGATCAAGCAACGTTCTCTTTCCTTTCTTTCTTCCTACCCTCCTTACTGCCTGCGTTCCTTCCTTCTTTCTCTCCCTTCTTCTCTTCCTCCTCCTTCTTTTTTCTCTCTCAATTCATTCACTAAGGGGGAAAGCCAATCTGGGTTCCAACCACTAACTTTGGAAGAGTAGGAGGCAAGAATTGACTTTCATGAGGCCTCATTCGTGTAACTGAGGTGTGTCTCAATGCTTTAGATTATAAACTGAGCTGTTACTAAGAGATGAATGGGTCAAATCTGTAACAGAGTCACAAGGTAGAACTTATATTCCCAGAATCCCCAAGCCAAGGATTGCTTGAATCGTGTCTTTCCTGTGCCAGCTTTAAGCCGATAAAACCAGCCCTCCTGAACCTGGTATGAGGCTTAAGTGGATGCCTTTGGAGGCCTTTAAGCATCCATGTTTTCTCTTCTCACACAGAGCAGCCTCCAGCAGGGACACTCCTCCCCCTCCACTGGACAGGACAAAACAAGCTTGTGGTTATTTGTGGGGCACAACACCTAAACAGACACACATGTGGTGGTAGAAAGGAAAATTCTAGAATGTATCCATTCAAGGTCAGCATGTAATCTCCAAATTATGACTTTAAGGTATTCAGTAGCATAGGAAGATTTCCTAGTAGTCAGTAACATTATTTAATTCAATAAGAGTAGATGAATAAAAAGAAATATGAATGGTGAATATAATGTTTTTATAGTAATGATAAACATTATGCATTGTAGATTACTAAAAATTAGTAGTATATATAGAGGGTTTTCAAATGTTCTTAAAACTATTGAATTAGCCTCTATGGAAAACCAGTGATAAAGCAATGCTCAAAAGCTGTATTCAGGTGATTTTGCTTTACACCCTAGTTTTTCTGGGGAAAGGGGATTATTAGTGACTTTTTTTTTTCTTACATATTTTATCATACCTTCTTCTTCAGTCCTTCAGGTATCCATTTTTTATACGTAAGCCTCAATCTGTTTGACTTGCTATCTTTTTCAACGGCAGCTTAATATTGATACAAGTTTAGTAAATCTCAAATATAATCACCTATGTGATATCTATCAGTTTCAGCTCTCTGTTATGACCTTTTCCTGTGACCATATTCATACATACCTGATAAAGATACTTCTGATTTTTTAAAAAACCTGGGCTTTTGTGCAGGCCCTAGTTGTAGACTAAGTAGGCAAGCACTTAAGTGGCATAATTTTAATGTTGTAGTACAGCCAGGCCCTAGACATCCCTCCCTAACACACCTGGCACAGTGGCTTCATCCCTTCCTACATGGTCATAGTTTCCCATCAGTGTCAACACTCCTCCATGTGGGACCACAGAGTAGTATACTATGTACAATTGGTTCTGGAGTTTTTTTAGTCTGTTCAAATTGGACTTTGTCACTGAATGCCTGGATCACAAATTACTCATCTCCCTGAGCCTCAGTTTTCTCATCTATAAAATGTGATGGTAATGATTGGCACAGTTTTTATGATTCACAATGATATATATCTCTAAGGCAAAAATCTGGCATATTAGAAATTATTCAGTGTATTATGGTTATTATATTATTTTACAATCTATTTATAGGTTACATAAGGGAAAAGAGTAGGGACTAGCTTCCTTCATTAACCCTCTCTTACTAATATTCCTAGTGGAGGGAAGGAAAGAGCACAGAGCAAATCTCTGATGGGAGGGCTTCCCCAGCAGCGCATTGGTTAAGAATCCACCTACCAATGCAGGCGACACGGGTTCGAGCCCTGGTCCGGGAAGATCCCACATGCTGTAGAGCAACTAAGCCCATGCGCCACAACTACTGAGCCCTCGTGCCACCGCTACTGAAGCCCACGCGCCTAGAGCCTGTGCTCCACAGCAAGAGACGTCACCACAATGAGAAGCCTGTGCACCACAACGAAGAGTAGCGCCCGCTCACCACAACTAGAGAAAGCCCGCGCGCAGCAACAAAGACCTAACGCAGCCAAAAATCAATAAATAAAATAATAATTTTTTTTTTTTAAATCTCTGATGAGAAAGTAACAGTGAGCCTAAAATTGCATGAATTTGGGCACTGTCTATGCCTCTGGCAATCCCTTAGACCCCTCTGACCTTCTTTCATCTGGTGGCTTCAAACTTATCCCAGGATTTGGTGCAACTGTAGCAATCATTTTAACAGAACATCAGAAAGAAGCAGAGTTGTTGGAAGAGGAGGTGGCAACACCTCTGAGGGAATCTCAGGTCCTGAGGGCAGACTTTAGGAAGCATAGTAGAAAGCATTAGGGGTAAAAAAAAGGAAGGGAGATAGGGAAATAGAAGTAATGTTACTACAGGAAAACTTGCAAACAACTTGCCAGATAGAGAATATTCTCCTAACCCATACAATGGCAAAATGTCACCCCTGCAATTTTTTTCTGCTCTTGTCCCTGTATTCTAGTTCATCAAACATACTGAATACTTACCTTGCACCACGCATTGTATTAGGAGGTGCTGGTATTACCCAAATGAACACATCTGAGATGAGAACATTTTGCCTGTAGCATCTTTCACCCCACTGTGGACACACTTATTGTGGACAAAGTGAGTGTTCCTGTCCCCTCCCCACTATCCCATAAGTCCCCCTCACAGGTAGGGGAGGAAGTTTTTCTGTTACGTTTACATGAGTTCCTCAACCCACTGCCAGAATAATAATAACAATGAACACATTGATGCTTACTGTGTAGCAGGCACCATTCTCAGCACTTACGTACACTAACTTTTTAAATGCTCACCAAATATAATGTGAATTATGTATCATTGTTATTCTCATTTCACAGTGAGGACATTGAAACACGGAAGTTAAATAAGTTGCCCAAAGTCACGTAGCTGATATATGGAAGAGCTATGCTGTGTATGCTCAAGTTCTGAATCCCGGGCACACTCTTCAAATCCAATGACCTAGTAGGAAATCGTTGCCATTGACTCTGTGCAGCTCAAGTAGTCATAGCGAGTGTAGTCAATCCTCTGGCCACCTGCTGGAAGTCTCATTTGAGAACAACAGTGTATCTAATGAGTTCTTCACTTGACTTCCTGAAAAATTGCTTCCCTTCACCATATAGAGGAAGAGATGAGGGGATTGCTGCATTGGACTGTAATTCTAACTCACAAGGTGAGATTGGCTGTAAAGTTAAAAACAAAATGAAACGTAGGAGATAAATGACTATGCAACCCTAGAATTAGTTCTGGCCATGTAAGGGGAAGACTGGAATCGGCTACGCAGCGTCAGCTGAAAGAAGGCATCACAGA